TAGGGCAAAGGGAACTGAGGAGAAAATAAACAAATGGGACTATATTAAAATAAAAAGCTTCTGCACAGCAAAAGAAACTATCAACAAAATGAAAAGGGAGCCCACTGCATGGGAGAACATATTTGATACATCTGACAAAGGTTTAGTATCCAAAATATATAAGGAACTTCTACAACTTAACAAAAGGAAGACAAACAATCCAATAAAAAAAATGGGCAAAGGACATAAATAGGCACTTCTCCAAAGCTGACATACAGAAGGTCAAGAAACATATGAAAAAAGGTTCAAAGTCACTGATCATCAGAGAGTTGCAAATTAAAATGACCATGATGTATCACCTCACACCTGTCGGAATGGCTACCATCAACAGATCAACAAATGACAAGTGCAAGCAAGGATGTGGAGAAAAATGAACCCTAGTACAGTGCTGGTGGGAATGCAAACTGGTGCAGCCACTATGGAAAACACTAAGGTGTTTCCTCAAAATATTAAATATTAAACTGACATTTGACCCAGTCATCCCACTTCTAAGAATATATCCTAAGAAACCCGAAACACCAATCAGAAAGAATGTATGTACCCTTATGTTCATAGCAACAGAATTTACAGTAGCTAAGATCTGGAAAGAGCCCAAGTGCCCATCAATAAATGAGTGGATAAAAAAGCTGTGGTACATTTTACCATGGAATACTATGCAGCAGTAAAAAAGAAGGCTCTCTTACTCTTTAAGACAGCATGGAGGGACCTGGAGCATACTATGCTAAGCAAAATAAGCCAGTCAGAGAAAGACAAGTATCACACGATATTACTAGTATATGGAATCCAATGAACAAAATAAACTGATGAACAAAATAGATCCAAAGATATAAAAGCATGGAATAAACTGTGGAATTTCAGAGGGCAGGTGGGGGAGGGTGGGTGGGAAGAGATCAACCAGCGAACTTGTATTCATATATGCATAACCTAAGGACACAGCCAATAGGGTGGTGAAGTCTTGGGGTGTGGAGAAGGGTTAGAAGAGGTCAGTGAGGGAAAAGGGGAAACATATGTAATACTTTCAATAGTAAAGATTTTTAAAAATGTAGCTTTCAGTTCTTTCTATAATAAGAGCTTAAAGAGAAAAAATTAACATAATTTAGACTTGCTCCCTACATTTACAAGACCATTTTAGTTCCTTTCATCCATAGAATCCTTTACTATAGAGAACACCTTCTATTTCTTATCACTTGCAACTAAGCACAGGGCAAAATCCAGGACAGAAATGAATAATTAACTCAAAATTTGAAAACAATAAATATTATTTCATTTTACTTTGCTTACATTTATGAATGGATATACAAACCTCAGAAACATATAAACAAATATCAGAACACATATGTTCTTCATAAAAATTTGAGGAGAGTAAAAACGACTTTGCTTTTTCCTAAGAGCAAGTTGTCTGTTTGCCATGACAGACCCTGCTGAAAAGGATGTTTTATCTTCAATGTTTTATTTGCAAGAAAGAGAGAAGTAACATTTTATTATCCCAAAGATTTAGAGTAAAAAAATGATATCAATAAGCAAAAATGAATTAACTGAGTACTATGCAAACCCCAAAGAGCATTTTACAAGCCGGTACAGCACCAATTATCTTATTATCTCACCCTACTCTCTGGGTGAATAGTCTAAAAGCCTAAAATTACAGTTGATATTTGATTTCTTGGCTTCATTTGCAAAATGGAGTCGTTTTCTCTTTTGTGAATGCCATAAACACATGTTATATTGTTTAAGAGGAACAGACCTTATTTTGTTATGGTATTTTCCTCTTTTTGTCCCCCAGGTCAAAGGACCTTTTTTTTCTTAATTAGTTTTGTTGCAAATTGATGTAGCACACCGTGTTTCTGAATGATTTGCGATGGTCCTAAGTACCATTTGAGTAGAGGCTTTTTGGCATGTCATTTGTTAAGAGACCAGTTCTGGAGAAGGTCCTTCAACTGACCAGATGTGTCATATTGAAACAGATTGAGGGCCTGCCAAAACACCATTTGCTGCCAGCACTGTATATTGTAGGGGTGCTCACCACCCTGTTACCATATTTTTGCACGTCTCAACATTGCATAAATAGGCAGCTGTTCTGTATTTAGAATATAAATGAGTCACCAGCTTGCTCTCCCTGGAGGATTTACCTGGAAGAAGGAACCACAAACCTCTTCTCATCCCCCTGCCAGAATGTCACATTGAAATGCACACTTCTCAGCTCATTCAAAAGCAAATCCTTAAGCAAATAAATCACACCTTTCCTGCCAGTGAGACAAGAGAACCTTGCTAAAATGGAACACATTTCCTTAGCAGTGAAAGCTGCAAATTAATCAGCTTATAAACTGAGAGCGAGCCATTTGTGCTGAACACTTTCTTACTGCTCCTTCAACAGGAGACAAGGCTCTCTAATCTTCTAGAGAGTCCTGACTTCATTAAGATGGAAAACCCTGTTAAAGGAGGTTTTGCAAGAGACAAGAAAAGCCCTAAAGTCACTCAGTTGTCTCTCTGCAGTTATTCTCAGGACAGGGGATTTCTATTTATTTGGAGAGTGACAATGAGCCTGGATACATGGCCCAAGCAAGAAGCAGAGTGATGCCCAGCTGGAGTTGCTCAATGCTTGAGCATTGACCTATGAATAGGGAGGTCATAGTTCAATTCCTATCAGAGCACATGCCTGAGTTGTAGGCTCCATCCCCAGTAGGGGCCATGCAGGAAGCTGCAGATCAATGATTCTCTCTCATCATTGATATTTTCTCTCTGTCTCTCTCTCTCCCTTCCTCTCTGAAATCATCTATCTATCTATCTATCTATCTATCTATCTATCTATCTATATACTAGTGGCCCGTTGCACGAAGATTCGTGCAATAGGCCTTCCTTCCCCTGGCTGCCGGCACTGGATTTCCTCTGGCACCCAGGACCCAGGCTTATGGTCCGGCCACAGCAGCGAGGCTTGGTTTCTCTGCTCCAGCTGCTCCCAGACCCTCCTTTTTTCCCCCCCAGCTCCTCCAGTGGAGGCCAGGGCTGGCTGGAAGCCTGTGTCGCCCCCAGTGACCCAGGCCCCCAGCCCCTCCTTGAATGGAGTCCAGGGCCTGCGGGAAGCTTGGCTTCCTCCTTCTCCGGGAGCAACCCAAGCCTCCTGCTCACTCCAGCTCCGTGGCTGCCGCCATCTCCAGTTGTCTTCAGTCTTCGCTTCGCACCTGCATAAGCAAATTAACCACCATCTTTGCCGTGTTAATTTGCATAGTCACTCTGATTGGCTGGTGGGTGTAGCGGAGTGGCGGAGTGATGGTTAATTTGCATGTTTCTCTTTTATTAGTGTAGATATATATAGCAAAGTGCTGAAGTGGGCCTCATTTCAGGACACCAAAGCTGGTTGGTCTAATCCACATTTACAGCAGGTGATTTACATAACAGGCTAGCACAAGGTGACTCATTTTTATCTCAAATAGCTTGGCCAATATATAAGTATACACATACATGTGCATACCTATATGTATGTGTGTGTATAATATATATATATATATATGTTTATATATATATATATATATATATATATATATATATATATATATGTATATATGTATGTATGCGATCTATACTAATAAAAGGGAAATAAGCTAATTAGACCGGACATCTTATGGATGTCCTTCCAGACAAAGCTGAAGCCGAGTCTCAGGTAAGCCGCAGATGGCAGCTGCTGCTGCAAGGGCTGGACTGAGGCTCAGGCAGCCACAGCGGCTGGCAGTGGCAGCAGCAGCGGCGTGATGGGGGTGTCGCCTTTCCCTGATCGGCCTGGTCACCTCCCGCAGAGGAGCTGTCAGTAAGACATCCCCTGAGGTCTTCCAGACTGTGAGAGGGGGCAGGCCGGGCTGAAGGACCCCCCCCCCCAGTGCACAAATTTTCATGCACTGGGCCTCTAGTATATACATAAACACACATCTATATTTGTGTAAGTATATGTATTTGTTTTACCCATAGGCACACTTGTCAGTGTTGGAATATCAAAGAATAAAAAAGTCAAGGAAGTTAGGGAAAAGAGAGGCAGTTGAGGTATGTGGTATATTAACTGTTATCAACTATTTTTGTGAATGTTTGCCCTTATTTGCTAAATAAACTCAGCATCCTGCAATCTGATAGGAGCAAGTTATTTCTCCAGGCTTTTCAGGTTGCCAGCAGAAGGAAAGTGCACACGGATAGATAGGTGACATTTGGAGAGCCAGGCATGCCAGATTTTCAGAGGTTATAGCGGAGGTCCAACCTGCTGTTCTCCTAATGAAAGGAGGGAAATTCAGGCTGGCAAAACTGCTATAAGGGATATCTCTGCTCCGAATGTCACGCTGCCCAGATGTCGCTCGGCAGGTGGAGATGCAGAGAGAATGAAAATGTAGCCCTGTGTGTGTGGGTGCTAGTGTGTTGCAAGGGTGAACAATGAGTCTATCTTCTGAAGTGTAATGAAAACAATGTGGATCATGTCCATATTCATGTCAGGAGAAAGGCCTTTCTCAAAGATTTCTCACTCACTTCCCCTCCCAGACAGATATGCCTTCATGTTCACAGACCATGTGCACACAACTTGTTCAAGGTTCTAAGTATAATTTGACCATTTATTTTAATATATGTATATACACATATGTATGTGTGCTTTTTAAATAGAAGATAGGATCATACTACATAAAGTTTTGTACTTTGAGTTTATTATAAATAGTGTAATTATTTATGAACTATATCATGAACATTTCTCACCCTATTTTCCTTAGACTTACCTTATTTTTAAGTCAGATTTTATAGCAAAGGTGCATTGTCACAGTTATTCATTTTCCTGTTGATGAACACTTAGGTTGACTCTAGGTTTTGTAAGTTGGGCATGCTTAAGTAGTCACGCTGGAAACTTTTTTAGGACCAAGTAAATGAGTCTTTACGTTACCTTTGTAAGAGATGTGACTGTCATTGAATTTTCTTTCACTACAATTGTTTTCCTTCAGTGTTACGAGATGACTTCCGGCAAAATCCCACAGATGTTGTGGTGGCAGCTGGAGAGCCTGCCATCCTGGAGTGCCAGCCCCCCCGAGGTCACCCTGAACCCACCATCTACTGGAAGAAAGACAAAGTTCGAATTGATGACAAGGAAGAAAGAATAAGTGTGAGTGAAATTAAAATGAATGCCTAAAGAAACTGAATCTCAAGTCTTAAAATTGATATATTTTATTTTATTCTGTGAATAAAATTGTTGAACTGCATTTGAATACTAACTACCTTTTTCACTGTATTGAAAGGGCTGAAAAAGGGAAACCAAAAACAATAACTTTGGAATAAGGTTTCAAAGACAAAAATTATATAAATCAAGTGTACATAATAGATCCAGAGACATAGAAGCATGTGACAGACTGTGGAACCTCAGAGGGAAGGCTGGGGAGGGTGGGTGGGTGGGTGGGAAGAGATCAACCAAAGAACTTGTATGCATATATGCATAACCCATGGTCACTGACAATAGGCTGGTAAAGTCTTGGGGGGTGGGGCTAGAAGGGTCAATGGGGGAAAAAAGGGGGATATATGTAATACTTTCAACAATAAAGATTAAAAATAAAGTAATAAAAAAATGAACAAAACAGTAAAAAATAGAATTGCACCAACTTGAATTTGTAAATAGATATTTGCAGCTCAATATTGCAGTCTCTGCTCTTTTTAAGATCTTCAAATGCATCCGTTGCTCAAGCAGCATGTGATTGTTAAAGTATAAATGATGGCCATAAACCATATTAATTAGGGTATTTATTTTTGCATTATTTTAAAAATTATAAAATGAAATAATTTGAGGTGATAAATATTTCAAGCACTTTTCCAGTTTTTCCAATTTAATGATATTTATAACTAAACTTTCATACATGAATTCATTTAAAAGTTTAGTGATATAAAATAAAATCAAAATAAAAATGACTGACTGGTTCTGCAGTTTAACCCTTGTAGAAAAATAGTATATTTTAAGGGAAACTAGTGATTAGTTTATGAATATTCAAAATAAAACACCCAGAAAATGGTAAAGTGGTAGATAAATAGCATACAATTACTTTATTTTTTCAGAGGTTCTACTCAAGATTTGTATATGAATTTTGTGAAAACCAGTCTACTGAAATAATAGATAATGCCTCAACCTTCTGACATTATTTTTAGTGTAATTTTTGAGAATTATACTGAGTATAATACAGTGGGGCCTTGACTTACGTGTTTAATTTGTTCCGTGACGGAGCTCATAACTCAAATTACTCGTATGTCAAATCATAAAGTGAATGAGTGAGACACGTGATGCTGGGCTGATGTTGTGGCGTTCACTGTGACATTCGCTGCACCAACTAGCGGTGGGGTATCTGAAGCTGGCTCATAACCCGAATTTTAGCTCGCAACTCAAAGCAAAAATTGGCCGAGAGACGGCTCGTATCTCGAAAAACTCGTTAGTCGGGACACTCATAAGTCAAGGCCCCACTGTAATTGAGAATGAATATTTTAAAAATAATATCTCATTTAACTGAAAAAAATGTTCCATTTCTATCAAAAGTCCCTGTAGTCTGGGTGTCTATTATCTTTAAAAATATCTAGTAAATGCTTCTTTTCTTATGTGTACATTGTGATTACATCATGAACAGAACTGGATAGGCCATGTAGGAGATCATAACATGTGTTTATGTTATTCTGGCTTGAACTCTGAGGATCTACATTGCCCTGGAGAACTGGTTTGCTAATGGTCTCTGCTAGGGTACCAAGTTATGAAAATGTGCTCCTGGTGATGGAATAAAATCAATGTTCAAGGGTTTCTAGCTCATGTTTGTGTCATTTAACTTTAGCTTTGTAACAAACCACCTCAAACGCAGTAGCTTATAGTAACCATTTTATTTAGACTATGATTCTACGGATAAACTGATAGCTCTTCACTCTGGCCCAGCGTAGTTGATGTTTGCTAGGCTTCCTCATGCTTCTGTGGCTTGTTTAAAGATGTGTTGACAGCTGGATGATCTGGGATAACACACACGTCTGGCAATTGACGGACTCTCAGCTGGGCACCTTCATCCTCTCATGGCTTCTAATTGTGCAGCAGGCTAACTCAGGCTGGTCCCCACGGTAGTCCCAGGGTTTCAGCTGCAGCAAGAGAAGGCAAGTTGCAATGTCCAAGCACTTCCTTCTGGTGAAAAATTGCTTTAGTTCCATTGATCGAATCAGGTCATATTGCCAAATGCAGCTTCAAGGGGAGAAGAAATTGCCTCCATCATCATTTTTATAACTTAGACTTCATTACGCTCTACTGTATATAATTGAGAACATGTTGAAAGTCTTCCCAGGTAAAAAGAAAACAAAGTAGGAAATTCCTTTCTATGACATGACAGGTTTTAAAGCCAGAAATATCTCTAATGAGAACATACCTATATTAGTGTTGTTTGCCTATGAATTTAAAAATCAACAAAGGAAAAGACCATGTTCTTATCTCATATCTCTTTAAAAACACTCAGTCATTGTCAAGTGAAGATTGTTGGATTAGGGAAATACCAAAAATAAAAAATAAAAAAAATCACCAAAATTGGAAAAGAAACTATGAGTTAATGATACACATACTGAAAACCTAATTCTCCTTTAGCATCCTCTTTAACAAACACACATTTAAACAAGATTACATATGTTTATTCAGTCAATAAATGCTTCTGAATTAAGACATCTAAAGAGAAGCTGTTTAAAAACAATGATTTGTAACAACTCATAGTCATTATTCCAAAAATTTGAATTGTTTTTATCCATACCACTCTATTCTTCAAAAATTATCCCATAATTAAAATTAAGATGGGACAAAGATAATACACACAATTTAAAAATAAGCTCCAGGAAGGCAGGCATTTTTATATTTGGATTATTACTGAATCCCAAGTGCCTAGAAAACTGCCCAGCCTGTGGAGTTAGGTATTCCATAAACACTTGTGGAATCCCTCTGAGTCCGTTGGATTTATTTTATTATCCAAAGCAAATATCTAGTGCTCCTTTCTGATGACAAATGTCAATAGCAGTTCATCCAACCAAATCACAGAGTGAAGACCAAACATCGGGATTGGATGGGGGCAGTCACAATGCACAAAGGAGGACTAGGCAGGAGATGAAGACTGCCTTAAAGAAGCATTCTATGGAAAGGAAATTGGGAGCTTATTTTGGAGGAGAATTTAAGAAAAAATAAGGGCACATGCAGATGTCAAAATAGTGGGAGAGTTTTGAGTGCTAGTTCCAGAGCTATTTCCTTTAGGAAAAACAAATGTGCTTAATTATTCAAAATTATTTATTAGTGACTTTTCCTTTCCATTCTTTCTCTCTCTTTTTTTTCTTCATTTTTTTAAAAAAAATTTACAGATCCGTGGTGGAAAACTGATGATCTCCAATACCAGGAAAAGTGATGCGGGGATGTATACCTGTGTTGGCACCAATATGGTGGGAGAAAGAGACAGTGATCCAGCAGAGCTGACTGTTTTTGGTAAACCTCTCTTTTAATTACAACTTGCTATTTGTATCATTTCCCCCCTTGTTTTTAAGTGTTTTTTATTAATACTAAACACCAGGCCATATAGAGATAGTTTTTATGGCTTATGGTAAGCAGTGACAGGCTGGAATTGTCCATTTTTTTTGTTTTGTTTCTGTCTCCAAGATGAAATCTTGATGGGAAGAAAAAGAAGACATTTGAAATGTTAATCCACCTACTCTATTCACATATTTATACAGGTTTGCCTTTCATCATAATATAAATAATTCTTCTTTTTCAAAATCTATTTGAGATATTATATCCTAAAGTTTATCACTTATTCTACTATGATGCATTTAACAAGTATCTATTATGTGCAAGACAAAGGGTGTTTTTCTTTTAAGTTAGAGATTGTAATACAAAGACGTTTCACTTTTTTCCTACTTTAAAAATTTCAAATTGAGGTATTTGGAATTTTAGCTGATTATTGAAAGACTAGCTAACCATATGTATGCCCACAATTAAAATTAGAAAGAAAAACATCTATTTTGTTATATTTATGTTTCTTCAACTTTAAGCACCAAAGGACTCTTTAGCTGAAGTTTTAATTAGTCAGTTAAAACCTGATAGATATGTATCACAGAAATAGTGGAGAAAACACTCAGAAGGAGAAAGTTGTGGATAATAAAGATGGCCAAGTAAACAAAAGTAAGAGAAGTACAACAGGGCAGCTGTGGAATATTGTAAGAGAAAATGATGGAAAACTGGGGAAAACAAAGATTCTAAAGATACTAGAAAAATGAAACATTCCTTTAGAAGACAACAAAATCCCATTCGAATCTCTGTATGGAAATATATATTATGAATATACACACTCACAAATGCACACATGCACGTGCATATGTATATGCACACATGTACTTAAGCATATTTATGTGCATGAATAGCTATATCTAAATAAAAATTCACTATTGCAAATATATGTGATTTTCTTTTCAACATACAAGAGATAATTGTGATTTTTAAAGTACTTTTTGTGTGCCAGTAAAAGAGACTCCTGGTTCTATGCACAATATGATAAGATCTTTTTTTTTTTTTTTGCCATTATTTCAGAACACCCCTGAGGGTAGCAACAGAATCCTGAATAAGTCCCTAAAGAAACTTCTTTTTAGTTTGGGAAGTGCCACCCCATGGTGTAAAGGAGTGCCATAATGCAAAAATGGACCATGTTACGATTGCAATTCCATTTTTAGCGTCAGGGTGTGCTTTATGAATATTCACCAGATGCAAGCCCCTCTCTTCAATCACTCTGAGTACAAGTAATCTCTGGTAATACTCCTTGCAGATACTGAGCAGCTTGAAGTCCCAAATGACAAAACCAGGAGAAATCTCAAAATCTCATCATCCACGAAAGGAATTGAAGAGTAAAATAAAATTATTCAAAGTATGCATGTAAATTGCTATTCTGCAGAGCACAGACAAGCATCAGTTTTTCGTTAAATTTCATGCAGTCACCTATGAGTCCCGAAACGTGTTCCACTCTGTAATGAATAAAATACAGTTTTTCTGGCAATATATAAAATTAGTGGTCACTGAACATGAGCATTGAAAACCTACAAGAAACACTCATGCTATTTTTCCATAACTACCCAGCTTTGGTTCACAAAAATGTTGCATTACAGCAGCATTTACTGCCTTCAGGAGGAATTCGAAAGTGTTTAATCTCATTACCTGAGCAATTAGACTTACCAGACTGTGATTGTGTTATAAAATATTTACCTAAAGATGTGATGAGAAGTACAGGAGATCCCTAAACATGTCAGGAGTTACAGGGTAACTTCTAAATTATTTTTAAAATAGCTATAAACCAAAGAGATTGAATTTGTCTAGAGGCAGTTCCTTTGGAAGAATTGATTTAGGAAGCTGAGAAACATTTATCTGATGGTGTAAACTAGTTAGAACTGACCTAAGGGGCTATAAGTACAATATTAAGTTGTGGGGGAAAACTAAAATTCCATTATTGATAAGAAAACAACATCCAAACCAAGAAATAAAAGATAAAAACAGTAGTGATGGTCTAACCAAGGATGTGACAAGTGCTGCCTGAGATTCCCCAATTCTTAGAGAAAATAAAATAACCAGTGTGCTCTGTATAATGAGGCCTTCTTTATTTTATTTTGGTGCTTTTGCATCTAGGACAGGTTTACTTTTAAACCTCTTTATAGTTCATCATTGTTAGAATTATCATCTCTGATCTATGTTTAGAAAAGCAAAACTGGTTACATTCTCTCCCTCCTCTCTCTCAACTTTATTTCCATGTATTAGACATTCTTCTTTTAAAAATATCTGTCTATTTCCCTGGCTGGTGGTCTCAGTGGTTAGAGCATTGACCTGGTCCAGGGCATGGACCTGGGTTTCAGGTTTGATCCCAGGCCCAGTTGGGGTGCATGCGGGAAACATTCAATCGATGTGTCTCTCACATCAATGTTTCTTTCTTCCTTCCCCTCTTTCTCTCTCTCTTTCTCCCTTCCATCCTCTCCCCTTAAAAAGAAAAAAAAAGTCAATGGAAAAAACATTCTCGGGGGAGGATTAGCAAGAACAACCAAAAATCTGGCTACTATGACCACTGTATTATAGGAAGTTTTTAAATGTCTTTTGCAACCCCATATTTACTTTATGATGTGTACTACAGAAAAAGTAACTGATAATATTTAATTGTTCCAAAATATGATTCACTTATAAATTGCAATAAAAACAATGAAAAGAATAAAGGGTCTTTGCCAATATAATACCCATCTGCAAGTATTTTGATTCTCTATTAAGTGGTCTTGGACTTAGACCTTTTGTAGCTTGAAAATTGCAACTAATATTTTAAAGATCTGCACTTTAGACAAAGATATTATCAATGTAATGTAATGTTCAATATGTTACTATTCCATACTCCACGAATCATTTACTCTGTTTGTTCTTCTTTAATGTAAAATAGCATCCTAGTTAAGTAGGAAGTACCAAGTCTAAAAATTATAAATAAGCATCATAGTGTAAATGCTAAAATCAATGGGAGGGTTTAGATATATTTTTTATAAAGAACACTCCCCCCAGGTCTGGTGTGGCTCTGTTGGTTGGACCATCATTTCGTACACCAAAAGGTGGTGGGTTCAATTTCTGGTCAGGGCACATACTTAGGTTGTGGGTTCCATCCCCCATCAGGGCACCTGCAGGAGGCAGGAGATTGATGTTTCTCTCTCTCTCTCTCTCTCTCTCTCTCTCTCTCTCTCTCCCTTCCTACATCTAAAATGAATTTAAGAAATAGAATACTACCTAGCAATCTAGCAATTTATATATGTCAATTAAATTCCCAAGATCCTGACCCTGACAGTGTGGCTCAGTGGGTGAGCATCGACCCACAAATTAGGAGGTCATGGTTCATTTCTCTAGTCAGAGCACATGCTTGAGGTGCAGGCTCAATCCCCAGTAGGGGGAGTGCAGGAGGCCTTTGATGGATGATTCTCTGTCATCATTGATGCTTCTATCTCTCTATCCCTCTCTGAAATCAATTGAAAAACACACAAAAACATAAATTCGCAAGATCCTGAAGACAGAGAAACTAGAGTTAAATTATATAATTTAGTTTAAAACAATGGTTAGGTTTGGGATATCTGTTATCCAAAATTTAACCGCTATTAAAAAACAACCAAAATTTTTTCCCAAATGATTTTTAAATGTTTATCAAAGTAATACATGAAAAAATATTTTATATGTCACATTTCTAGTAGACCCAAAAGTATTATAAACTATTAATGAAATAAAGAAAAATTTTGCCCCACCTTACTTTCCAACACACACACAAACACACACACACACACACACACACACACACCTCATCTTTAAACATTTCTTCTGGGATTTATTTCCTTACTTCTAAATATGTACTTATTCCACGACTGTGTACATTATTTTGATTTCCTATTTTGGAAGATGATGATTTGCCCCACTTCTATCCCCTGCCCCACCGTCTCTCCTCCACTTTCCCTTCTGTTTGTCCTTCCAGTATAATGACTTCAGAAACATTGGTTATATTAATATTCAGAATTTGAATTATTATAACCATGCAAATATAGACTGTGGGCTGTGTTATGTTATGATGGCATTTTTTTTCTGGTACAATATTTGTTCTCTGAATTAGTAATAATTTTTCTTTTACTTATGTTTGTCTACACCTATCATGAATTATTTTTGCAATTTCTAACAGAATGTTTACATTCCTCTAAGTTTTTATTTAGGTATGAAGTCCACCCTGGCTACAGCCTTCCTGGAGGCTTCAGGCTACTGGCCCCATCCGACTGGGCCGGATGCTCCCTAGGCCTCTCCACAAACGTCATCCTCATACCTCTCTTCCCTTTGCTCTGATAATGGATGCCCATCTTTCTGCATCCTGTGTGTTTTTCTTGGGTGACTTCTATATTCAGAAATGTTTCTCCTTCTTTCTACATAACTTGAGCCTAGAGCTCATTCCAGACCAAATGCCTTTATTCCATCCAAAATTTAATTGATACTTTAGCTGCTTATAGAATTATAGTTTAAAAACAGATATTTTTACTCATAACATTAAAGTGCATCTCCAATATTATTCAGCTTCCACTGCTGCTATTGAGAAGACTACTGTGCTTCTGATCCCCTGTGACCAGTTTTCCTTTTTTTCTTTTAGTACTGTCTTTTTATCCAAGCATTCTAAAATGCTTCAATACTGTGCCTTGCTTTGGCACTTTTTTAATTTTAGTGGCTAGACACCTGGTAAGCAATCTCAATCACAAAACTCCTATCCATTTTTCTATCCCATTCTCTGTCAAATATGTATTTACTAATTAGAGGATAAACCTTCTAGGCCTTTCTTTCCTCTAATTCTAGGCCTTTCTTTCCTCTAATTCTTTCCTATTTATGTCATCTTGTTCTTGTTTCATGGATGTTTTAACCTCTCTTATTTCTCAGGATTTTAAAAACACGATTTTTAAAAA